AAGGTAGCCATCCTGCAGCAAAAAAAATTCAAGACCAGACTTCAAAGAGAAACTGCTGAGCTACAGTTCATCTTCAAGTTTGACACAATCAACTCAGGATTAAACAAAGACTGTGAATGGCTCGCTAACTACAAAAGGCCTGCATATTTATACCTGCCTCTGGAAATTTCCACTACATGCATCTGACTAAGTGGGTCTTTGCCCATAAAAGCTTATGCTCCAACACTTTGGTTAGTCTATAAGGTGCCACAGGACTCCTCGCTGCTTTTAAAGGTTACAAAGGAATTTCACAAAACTGGATGACTGGGCAACACAAGAGCAGATGGAATTAAGCGTTGCTAAGTGGAAAGTAATACACATGTAAAAATATAATCCTAACTACAGATACAAAAATGATGGGGTCAAAATTAGCTACCACCACTCAAGATATAGATCTTGGAGTCATTATGGATAGTTCCCTGAAAACATTTCTTCAATGTGCAGTGGCAGTCTAAAACATAGCAGAATATTGGGAATCATTAGGAAAGGAACAGATAAGACAGAAAATACCATATTGCCTCTATATACGGAACAGCTTCCATATGAGGAGAGATTAACAAGACTGAAACTTTTCAGCTTGGAAAGGAAATGACTAAAGAGTGGGGGATATGTTTATGGTGACCATATTTTCTGAACCAAAAATAGGGACACCTTGGCCCCATCCTCAAAACCACTAGCCATGCCCCTGACCCCTTAGGCACCACCCACCTGCCACAGGAAGTCCCACCCCTGGTGGTAGTACTTCTGGGGTCAAGATGAATACATGACCAGAAGTAAAGGGTGTCATGTGACTCCTATAATAACTCCTCCCACCATCTTCTACCTATGAGGATGGGTTTGGGCCCCATAGAAGCTCTCCCCCATTCAACTATACTACAATTGCATTAACCCAGGGTCCAGACCTAGGGTCCCAGGACAGTGCAGTGCTAGAGGTCCAACCTTGATTCAAGATGAGATCCAGGATCTCAGGCCTATTACTTTGCCATTTAGATGCAGCCCCATTTGACTCAGGATCTGGGAACCATCCAGAACTATCCCACAATTTCATGGGACAACTGCCATAGTCCTCTTAATGGATGTTGCCTACTGGTTCCAATTAACTGGTAATCAGAGGGGGATGTAGCAGCTCCCCACCTGCTTCAGGAAGGGGGCTGGCTGCTCCAGGCCACAAAGGGCTTACTGCAGACAGGGGTTGCTCTCGCCCAGATCAGCCCCTGTCTCTGCGGAACTCGGGGGCTCCACAGGCAAGGACTGTGCAAGTGTACACAGAAGCCTCTCTCTGTGGATAATCCAGCTTCTTACAGACAAAGGCAGCTTCAGGGGGAGAAGGGAAGGGGAGCTGAGAACCAGCGGCAGCCCCAGTGTGACCTAACATTAACCAATTAACAGATCAGCCCCTGTCTCTGGAGAATTCCTATGTTATGTAAATAATACCTAATAATAATTGCCAAATGAGACCACTTCCAAACCAGCTTACAAAGCATCTGATCCAATTTAATTTTAAGCTAGGATTGGGCCCAAAGCTATCTGTTGATATTACCCAAGAAGATCCAGGTAATATTTAGTCATCCTTCAAAAATATAAGGGACCAATCAGTCAAAGCCCCACTGCTTGGTAAAGGCAAGCTTTGAAGAAATTTGGAGAAACTTTGAATTTACTTCTGACTGACCTTTGGTCTGACCCAGGACGGCCATTCTAAGCTCAGGGCTCAGGGTCGGGGGTCTCAGTGGACCACCTTGATTTTCATGCAAACCTGCTCCTGGGTGGCCAGGCTGGCAGGTCTCCTGCCCTAGACGGCCACTTTCCCGTGCCTAGTGCGGAGGGCGTGGGGTGCAGGGTCTGGGGCCGGGGTCCAGGGCCGGGAGGGGGGCATACGAGTTTCCCTGGTGGTGGCCAGAGTGGCCACCAGGGAAAGCTGGGGAGGGCTAGCCTCCCACTAGTTCGAATTAAGGGGCTACACAGCCCTTAATTCGAACTAGTAAGTTCGAACTAGGCTTAGTCCTTGTGGAATGAGGTTTACCTAGTTCGAACTAAGCGCTCCGCTAGTTCGAATTAAGTTCGAACTAGCGGAGCGCTAGTGTAGCGCCTATCAAAGTTAATTCGAACTAACATCCGTTAGTTCGAATTAACTTTGTAGTGTAGACATACCCTAAGGTGCCACAGGAGTCCTTGTCGCTTTCTCTGGTGTAGTGTTCTTGTTTGGCAGAAGCGGTGTTAAGTATATTTAGGTGCTTATTACACACTTTCTCTCTGGAACATATTGTGTGGCATCTCTTGCCTGGCTGTAGATAACAGATTTCTTGGCATGTCTGAGACTATTACTGGATCTGTGGAGACAGATGTGGTTGTCTGTGTGTTTCTTGTGTATAAGTGGCTGTAGGATTCCTTTGCTGAAGCTGGTCATGGTGCAGAAGGTGGATGCTGGAGTGAGAGTATTTCAGACACAGTTTGACGGATGAAGTTGTGATGGAAATTTAAAAGGGAGTCTGAGACACCTGGTCAGAGGATGGAAATACCATCAACATATCTCAAGTGTATCAATGGTTTTGTGGCACTTTTTTCCAGAATAGTCCACAAAGAGGAACACAGACAGACAAACGTATATAAGAAACCTATGGATCACCACACCTTCCTTCGCAGGCCCTAACACACCAAGAAATCTGTCCCCTATGGCCAGTCACTCAAATATTTATCACAAATTAAGCTCTAAGCAGAAAGTCAGGAATACACACCTTAATGCACTTGAAAGTGCCTTCACAAAGCAAAGACAATCTACCAGAAGAGTAGATCACATCATGGAATGGGCCACCCAAATACCTGAGGAGAACCCGCTTCAATATAGAAAAAGAGAGAGCCACTGATTGCATACCCCTCATTGTCACCTGTTGCCTCACACTGGAATCCATATGGGGTATCATCAAACAGTTACAACCATATGTGATGGGGGCCCCATCCTGAAGGAAATAGTTCTTGCCTTCTCTTCTGGTCTTCAAACAACCTCCCAGCTTCACCAAGCTCATGATCAAGCTTTCCATGGACCAGGTCACAACGCAAAGCAGCACCAAGCCTTGCCAAAACAACAGGTGTGAAACCTGCAGACATATCTGAATTGCTCTGGTGACCAATGCCCTCCCCCCCACACGTTTTAAGATCCAGGGGTTGTATGTGAGGTGTACCTCACCCTCTACAACAAATCCCCCAAGTGCGACTGAAACCAGAGGTCACTATGCTCTTGAATGAACTCGCACAGAGAAATGAAAAAAGGCAAATGCCAGATCACATGTAGACAAACACGTTTCACAAAATGCTCACTCCACATTTGGCTGCTTAGTTCTTGCTCTCAACAGAACCCTCGACAACACCATCAAAAGCTACGTTTACACCACCAGCTATGTTGGCAAAACATATTGCTCAGGGATGTGAATAAGCTGTTCCCTTTAGTGTCATAATTTACACTGACATAAGCACTGGTGTGCATAGCATAGCTTCTGCCCCAGGGAGTTGGGTGCAGCCCAGCCCTTACCCCAGCGCTCCAAGCATTGCAATCCCAGGGGTTTGGCCCTGCTCCCTGGCTGCTCCCCTACATTTCTAAGAATGGACTTGCGACCTGGTCCTGGGGGCAGCATCACTCGCCATTGGCCTACTGAGACTCATGTCAGGGTGGCGGCTGGGCCAGACCTGAGTGTTGCAGGGATCTCAGAGGGTGGCCAGCCCCAAGGGGCAGGAGCTGCAATAGCTGTCACGCTATCTTTTAAGACATTGTGGTGACCATTGTTGGGGTCCAACCCTCAGGCTGAGAACCCTGCTTAGATCAGCCATGATAGGCAGGGCTCGCCAAGCGGCGGCGAGCCGTTTGCCAGCTGCACGGAAGTGCACGCTGCACATGGCAGACCGCGCTGCGTAGCTGCACTGGGCTAAAATCTACTTGCCATGGCCAAGGGTGGCTCCGTCCTCACCTGGCCGAGCTAAGCAGCTTGTCAGGAGCTGAAGCTGTGTCCCCCTCTGTTTTCTCATTGCTCCCTGCAGTGGTGCTGCTCTGCACGCCCTTTTGACAGGCTGGTCCCTGGCTGAGGGAGTCTCTAGCTCCAGGGGCTGTGGGACTTTGAACATCTCCTTGGAAATGAGAGTATTCCCGGTTTCTTTTCAGGCTGCGAAAGGTGTGGCAGAAGAGGAAGTGCACAATCCGGCATGGCTACCTGACCATCTATCACAGCACGGTAGGGCTGGTGCTGCTAGCACCTTCATGGAAGCTGCTCAGAAGAGATGGTATGATCTTCTCCAACTCCATGCTGCTGGCCTGACCCAGACCTACTCAGAGTCTTTCCATTGAGGCAGAAGTTCTTTTGCTCTAAAAGACAGTAGGGTCTGCCTGGAGAGTGCACCAAGCATCCGGGTTCAGGGGAAAGTCATTGTTGTGATTTCTTGTTACTGATGACAGTACCAGCAAGGACAAAGTACCTGGGTTGCTGGGCAAGCCAGCCGCCAGGCTTCAGTGGATTTCTCCTCCTGTGGAAGGCCAGGCAGAGCTGTTAGGGAAACTAGGCTCTCACTGGCAGACTCCTGTAGAGCAGGGCCTTGAGCTTGGTTCTCCCAACTTCAGGTTTGTCCCTAGCTGCTGGTAAGTCCTTCCTCTCTGCTTCTGCCTCAGTGACCTTATAGCTTGGGAACATGGCAGGAACCTGTCCCAGGGGATGCATCATAGTGATGCTGTGAGTACTAAAGCTCCTTCTCCCATCCACCAGCTAAACCGTCTACCTACCAAGCTGAATTTGCTGACTTGCCAAGTGAAGCCAAACCCAGATGACAGGAAGTGCTTTGACCTCATCTCACGTAAGTGCCATAATTACACATTTTGTAGTGCCTGGGAAGACCCAATGAACAGGCATGGGCTGGATTTCTGACTCAGGGTCATGAGTATGATAAATGCAGAAGTGGGGGCCAGCAAGTTTATACCAAAGCCTGGTAGATAAGGCTTTGGGGTACAACTTCCCCCAAAATCTTAAAAACCGAGATTTTGGGAATAAAACGTCCGCTGCCACCACCCAAATATTAATAACGAGATTAGGGGAAAGATCATTTGGGAAATCTCACCTCTATTATGAAAATCAGGACACACAAGTAACCAATGCTAGGTTAATAAAAAGAAAAGAGAAAACTTTTATTATTACAACAATATTCCTGTTGCAGGCATAAGGATCAGATGGAAAGGTAAGAAAATATACTCATGGAGGAATTACACCATGGGCTAGAAGTTAGTTAAAAAGAAAAGCCAAACATCTCTTAAGCAGTGCCAGATCTCAGATCCCATACCCAGCCCTTAAAACAATAAAGCCTAATGAAACTACCTAAACTTTACCCTACTTACAGAAAATGAAGAATGGTGTCTGGGAGAGAGAGAGAGAGACATGCTTGTCCCTCCCTGTAGCTGCAGAGGACTCCCCCAGAGAGACAAAAGGAGAAAAGAAAAAACCCCAAATTCCTTTGTCCCAGTTTGAAAGTCCCACCTACATTCCTACTAGCCACTCCACCTGGCTAGGTGTAGTTAACCCCTTAATCCCCAGGCTGTTGGCTAACCCTCATAATCATGACCCCAGGTTCACAAGGCTGTTAGCTGTCCTGAGCTTTCAAGCTGCTTGACGAAGATAGAGGCGGGGTCTGTGATGAACAAGAGTCAGCACAGTGGGATCTGCCAGTGTGTGCCCATGCTGGATGTCTGCCTGAGGGTGGCACTGGCAGGGGAGAGCAGAGATACGGTAACAATCACATTGTGATGCAGGCAGCTTAGCCAATCACAGTTGTTCCTAGCTATTGGTATTGCAGCAGTGCTCTGAGTCAGGGCCCTGATTGCTGCTGCATGTGTGATCCGTAAAACAGCGACCTGAAAGGACAGGAGGCTGAGGAAAGATGGAAAGAGCAAAAGGGATAGAGTTCAATGATGCAGCGTTCTTGCAGCCTATGGCTATGTGGTCTGGAGCTCTTGCACCTGATCCCTCTGGGGACCTACTGCCTCACCCTGGCACCGCATTTGGGTGGGGCAGGCAGGGTGCTAGCCAATATTCCCTTGAATCTTTTAATGTGCACCACCAGTAGAAACAAAACCTAGATGAAGGTATTCTGCTAATCAGCTGGGCAGCATTGGTATCTCTCCTGAGAGGGTGCCCAAGCTGGTGCTGGCCCATGCACATGGGCTGCAGAGGCTGAGTGAGTGAATGGTTAGCATTCTCTGTGTGCTGGCTATGCCACACGTCCCTTGCCTGGCAATGCAGGGAGCTGGCTCTGGCTGTTGGGACGGTCTGGGTGCTGATTTGTTTCAGATCTAAACACAAATGGTTCTGTGTGTCTCTGATAACGATGAGCAGGAATACACTGCGTAAGTACTGGGGTGGGGACGGACCCCACTGAGCAGGGAGCAGAGCATAAAGGTCCTTGAGGTGAACAAGGGCTAGCTCTGTGAGCTGCTGAATGGGATCCAGCTCCTTGGACCACCTTACTCCTGGCTGCAGCCCTGTGTCCTCCTGTCCCCTCCAGCAAGGAGGGCAGGAGCATAGCTAGGCTGAGGCCTGATTTGCCTTTCGGTTGGGTTGCCTCTGTCTTCCCTGCAGAGAGATGCAGCAGTCAGAAGCCAGCAATGGCCTGGCTGAGTTCAGGGATCCTTCCTTCACTACCGAGCTCCTGCCAGTCATGAGGTGTGAGAAGGACCCTGCTGTGAGCCCACCCTACTGAGCCTGCACAGGCCTGTAGCCCCCCCTCCCCGCTGGAAATGTTGGCACAAGGTCCAAGATGCTGGGGGCTTAGGGCTGGAGTCAATGCCCACCCCTGCAGCCAGGAGATGCTGCTCTGCAGCCACTCCAGGACTCTGCCAGGTGCCAGCATGAAGTCAAGGGGCAAGGTCTCTCATCAGAGCGATGTGCATGAGCAGAATTTGAGGTCTCCCCATATTAGCCTGGAGCATACCGGGGCTCATGCCTAGTTCTTGCCTCTGCTGCTCCCCCATGGACCAGAGTACAGAGCCTCTATGCCCTTGCTGACAGGGAACACAGCTCTGGAGCACAGCCCTCTCTAACTGCACCTTCCTCCTCCTCCTCGCAGCTGGATTTCTGTTCTTAGCAACAGTAAGGAAGAGGCTCTGAATGTGGCATTCAGCCGGACGCAAGGCAGCCGAGAGAGCAGCATGGAGGGGCTAACCAGGGCCATTATTGAGGAAATCAGATGCATGCCAGGGAACAGTGTGTGCTGCGACTGCTCTGCACCTGGTGAGCATGTTCCCGGGGGGCTGGGACAGGGACAGGTACCTGGAGTCACTCTCTGCACAGTCATGCCATGCTCACGCTCCAGCCTCTCCAGCTGCTGTCCCGAAAACGTCCTGGACTGCAGTCACAACACAGCGCTGCTGGATCCCTGGATGGTAGGGAGTGTCTTGGCACCCTGCTTCCACCCCCGCCAGCATACCGCTGCGCCTATCCCCCTCCCCAGCGCTGCTCAGGAGCTTTCTACAGCTCCCCTGGAAAATGCCTGCACTCCTCCCTCCAGCAGAAATAGCCATTTTGGCAGGAGCCTGTCATGGGGGTTACCCTGGAACAGCTCTGAGCAGCCAGTCAGGGTTCTGGGGAAGTGCCTGCTCCCTCTGAACCCGCTGTCCCGAGGGCAAGAAGCTCACCCAGCTGTGGCATCAATGGAAGGATTCTGCTATGGAACTGCCCAGTGAGAGGGGACTGCGCCCCCTTAGCCATCACTTAGCTCAGCCCTTTGTCTCCCTAGTCAGATCCTCCAGACGTCTGCTGGAATCGTGGGGCCAGTTCTGGTGCCCACACCTCAGGAAGGATTCTGACAATTGAGGGGTCAGGGAAGAGCCCCAGGAATGATGAAAGGGTTAGAAACCTGCCTGCTAGTGAAAGACCTAAGGCGCTCACGCCATTTAGCGTACCGTGGTATGGTTGGTCAGAAGTACCTGCGGGGGCAACAGATATGCACTGGTGGCTCATCGATCGAGAAGGAAGATCTGACAGTCCAGTAGCTGGAAGTGGAAGCGACACATTCAGAAGGGATGGAGATCCCGGTGATTTGCTAAGGGAAGTGCTAACGTCTCCATCCCTGTCTAGTTTTGACTGAAGACTGGCTTCTTTTCAGAAAGGTCTGCTCTGGTTGAACAGGGATCATGGAGAGGTCTCTAGCCGGAGGCCAGAGGAGATGATCACAGGGCTTTCCTCTGAGCAGTAAGAAGCCCCAGGAGCTGCTTTGTACTGGGCCTTGCAGTGCAATCCTCTCTGCCCTTGCAGCAGCCTACAAACCCGCTCAGCCAGTTAGTGTCTGTCTGGTCCAGAGCCACGTCCCTGCTCTAGCCTTGCCCGCACGTCCTTGCTCCCTGGGCCTCAGCCATTCCCAGGCACTGGAGACAGAGGAGATGGCTACCCTTGCACTTGATCAGGAAAGCGTTTGTCATTCTCGGGTGCCTAACGTACACACCCTCCCTCCCCACAGGAGCGGGGCATGCACCACCTTCCTTTTCTCTTTGTTAAGCTAAATGGCACGCGCCTCGCTCCAGTCTTTCACTGTGAGGCAGGTTTTGCTGCAGCATGTGCAGATGTGAATGCTGCTTTGTCAGGGTAGATAGAAGCAAACGCCGCTGTTGGGGGCAGAAGTGCTGACAAACAACGTTCACCCCTCTGCCTTTTAGTGACAGGGCTGCAGGCACGGCCTTGTCATGAAAAGCTGCGAAATGTGGCATCCCTGTGCTGTTCCTAAGCATCATTGCTAGGGAGCTAGCACCTGAGGGGCCTAGGTGGCTAACCTGGGTGTCGCTGGTACGGCTCCTCAGGGAACCAGCACTTTCACCAATGTGCGAGAGCAGCAATGGGCCTCCCCACACTGCTCCCAGCCCCAGCCAAAATGGGGATATTTTCAAATACTTCCGATCTGTGCGTCATAAAACATCCCCCTCTGCCGTCCCTGACTCAGCCAACCATGTCAAGTCCAGTGGAGAGGCTCCTTGAACTCCATTGAACTTCCCCTTCCTGTTTTCACATTTATTTCTACAACCCAGTTAGGCCTCCTTGATTCTCTTTCTGGCCCCAGGGCAGACTACAGAAGCCTGGGGGCGCTGCTCTGATGTGCGCCACCTGAGAGACCATCCACCAGCTTGGGACCCACAGAGCTCATTTTCCTCCAGCCATTTCCCCCCAAGTGCCTGCTGCTGCACGGAGGAAAGCGGAGGAGCTATGACAGCACGAGGCCCAGCCAGGGTTCCCTTAATAAAGTGCTGCTGCTAGCACCAGGGAAGGAGAATCAGCTCATTGTTCATGTTCCTTCTTTCCCGGTTTAGCCTCTCCTCCTCCTTCCTTTCCTGGCCCTGTGCCAGGCTGCCCTCCATGTCCACTTTCCTTCATTCTCTCCTTTCTGCAGGTCCACAGCCTCCACCCTCAGATACCCCACTGTAAGTATTAAGGGGGCTGAGACAGAGAGGTGCTTCGTTCCCGCCGAGCCACAGCGCCTCTGGCAGAATGGTGTTGCTAACCAGAGCAATGTGCTGTCTCCCCAACAGACCCAACGTGGCTCTCCATTAACCTGGGCATCCTAATCTGCATTGAGTGCTCTGGGATTCATCGGGAGATGGGCGTGCACCACTCGCGCATCCAGTCTCTGTCTCTGGACAAGCTGACAACCTCCGAGCTCTTGGTAGGGAACTGTCTGTGTGTACGGTCTCAGGGTGCCCCCTCCGCGCCGCCGCTACCCCACTAGCCCCAATGGTTCCCCCGCCTCTGCTGTTGCACAGATGCACTTCCTCAGGCAGCCCTCCACTCTGCGCAGGCCCACCCCTACTCTGCTGCCAGCCGCGCGCACCCCCACACTCTGCTGCCAGCCGCACGCACCCCCACACTCTGCTGTCAGCCACGCGCAGGCCCACCCCCACTCTGTTGCCAGCCACATGCATGCCCCCCCGCTCTGCTGCCAGCCACATGCATATACCCCCAGGCTGTGTCTACATCGGCGCCCTTTTCCGTAAAAGGGATGCTAATGCGACACTTCGGAATTGCAAATGCCACGGGAGATTTAAATACCCCCCGCGGCATTTGCATGAACATGGCTGTCGCTACACATGGCACGGAGTAGGTAGTTCGAATTAGGCTCTCTAATTCAAACTACCGGTACACCTAGGGAGAGAGCCTAATAAGCCGCACGCATATACCCCCACTCTGCTGCCAGCCGCACGCATATACCCCCACTCTGCTGCCAGCCGCACGCATATACCCCCACTCTGCTGCCAGCCGCACGCATATACCCCCACTCTGCTGCCAGCCGCACGCATATACCCCCACTCTGCTGCCAGCCGCACGCATATACCCCCACTCTGCTGCCAGCCGCACGCATATACCCCCACTCTGCTGCCAGCCGCACGCATATACCCCCACTCTGCTGCCAGCCGCACGCATATACCCCCACTCTGCTGCCAGCCGCACGCATATACCCCCACTCTGCTGCCAGCCGCACGCATATACCCCCACTCTGCTGCCAGCCGCACGCATATACCCCCACTCTGCTGCCAGCCGCACGCATATACCCCCACTCTGCTGCCAGCCGCACGCATATACCCCCACTCTGCTGCCAGCCGCACGCATATACCCCCACTCTGCTGCCAGCCGCACGCATATACCCCCACTCTGCTGCCAGCCGCACGCATATACCCCCACTCTGCTGCCAGCCGCACGCATATACCCCCACTCTGCTGCCAGCCGCACGCATATACCCCCACTCTGCTGCCAGCCGCACGCATATACCCCCACTCTGCTGCCAGCCGCACGCATATACCCCCACTCTGCTGCCAGCCGCACGCATATACCCCCACTCTGCTGCCAGCCGCACGCATATACCCCCACTCTGCTGCCAGCCGCACGCATATACCCCCACTCTGCTGCCAGCCGCACGCATATACCCCCACTCTGCTGCCAGCCGCACGCATATACCCCCACTCTGCTGCCAGCCGCACGCATATACCCCCACTCTGCTGCCAGCCGCACGCATATACCCCCACTCTGCTGCCAGCCGCACGCATATACCCCCACTCTGCTGCCAGCCGCACGCATATACCCCCACTCTGCTGCCAGCCGCACGCATATACCCCCACTCTGCTGCCAGCCGCACGCATATACCCCCACTCTGCTGCCAGCCGCACGCATATACCCCCACTCTGCTGCCAGCCGCACGCATATACCCCCACTCTGCTGCCAGCCGCACGCATATACCCCCACTCTGCTGCCAGCCGCACGCATATACCCCCACTCTGCTGCCAGCCGCACGCATATACCCCCACTCTGCTGCCAGCCGCACGCATATACCCCCACTCTGCTGCCAGCCGCACGCATATACCCCCACTCTGCTGCCAGCCGCACGCATATACCCCCACTCTGCTGCCAGCCGCACGCATATACCCCCACTCTGCTGCCAGCCGCACGCATATACCCCCACTCTGCTGCCAGCCGCACGCATATACCCCCACTCTGCTGCCAGCCGCACGCATATACCCCCACTCTGCTGCCAGCCGCACGCATATACCCCCACTCTGCTGCCAGCCGCACGCATATACCCCCACTCTGCTGCCAGCCGCACGCATATACCCCCACTCTGCTGCCAGCCGCACGCATATACCCCCACTCTGCTGCCAGCCGCACGCATATACCCCCACTCTGCTGCCAGCCGCACGCATATACCCCCACTCTGCTGCCAGCCGCACGCATATACCCCCACTCTGCTGCCAGCCGCACGCATATACCCCCACTCTGCTGCCAGCCGCACGCATATACCCCCACTCTGCTGCCAGCCGCACGCATATACCCCCACTCTGCTGCCAGCCGCACGCATATACCCCCACTCTGCTGCCAGCCGCACGCATATACCCCCACTCTGCTGCCAGCCGCACGCATATACCCCCACTCTGCTGCCAGCCACACGCACGCCCCCCACTCTGCTGCTAGCAATACACACACTGTTGGGGTATCCATCCCACTCTACTGCCACCCCTGAAGCACTCCCTCAGGGTGCTTTCCTGCTCCACTGCCGCCAACACACACATCTTTATCTGCCACCATCGTCAGCTGCTGCCTATACACAACCCCTCCGGCACACCCTGCTCCACTGCCTCCCGCCTGCCTGCCCTCCTGCTCCATTGCTGCCTGCCCGCCCTCCTTTGAGGTGTCCGTCCTGCTCCACTGCCACCCTTTTGCCACCTGCAGGCCCCTTCCCCCGCTCAGCCGCTGCCCACACACGCTCCCTGGGAGTGCTCCCCTGCTCTTCTGAAGCTTGGATAGTGCATTGCATGGACAGGCAGGGGCATCTAAGCAGCTTACAGTGAGAGGTGGACTCTGTATGTCCATGCCTTCCTGGCCCTTCCCAGCCCACACCCCACCGTACTCTGGCTGGCACACACTCCCGGCTCTCACCAGGATGCTGTATGTCGTGCTAACCTGTCTTTTGCTTGATTGTGTTGCAGCTGGCCAAGAATATTGGCAATTCTGGCTTTAACGACATTCTGGAAGCCAACCTTCCCAGCCCTTTGCCAAAGCCCACAGCTGGCAGTGATATGTAAGTAGTTTCTTGGGGAGCCTGGTGTGAGGGCGAATCTCTCCATATTGGGCATTAGCTATGGAGCTTCATAGTGATTAGCCTATCTCCTGTGCTGTGTGTTCCCAGTTGCTCTTCCAGCTTTCTTGGAACAGATGCCTGGGTTCCTCTGGGCTGGGAAGGTCAGAGTGTTCCCCTCTAAGCCCCACTCCTCACAGTGCTTAGCCATGGGAATGAGGGGCCAGCCAGCAATTCTTTCTGGAGGATTCCCCGAACTGCTCTGGCATTGAAGGACAGACACAGCAGAGAGGCAGTGTAGGCAGGAAGGATGTGACTGACTTCAGGGCTGAGATTTCCAAAGCTGCCTGGGGCATGGGTGGATGGTGTCCTTTAATGTTACTGATGGATTCCCGTGGGTGCAAATGGGAGCAGTTCCACCAGTGCTGAGCACGTTGGAAAATACTCCTCCACGTGGGAAGGTGTCCTAGGGGCCAACCCTTAGTAATCACCGTGACATCTCTTACATTTCAGCTCAAACCATGGGCCCCACTCTCCATTGCCCCAGCACACAGCGGGTCTTGGGCCCAAGGGCATGGCGAGCAGTGCATGCTACTGAATTAGAATGGTAGCACTGGTGTAAATGCCCATACCTGGTGCACCTCAAAGTGAGATCAGGCCCAATATTAGTGAGGACCGAAATCTGACAAAGGGAGTGGAAACCACAGCAGAAATAACACAGCAACATTAA